TTGCCTGCTGAAATGCTGAATGCAGGTCATCTGATATTTGCAGTGTTGGGGGCTCTGCATGTTTGTTGCTTGCTGCTGTGATGTCTGCTGCATGCATGTTGACGACACTTAGACAGACATAGATTGAAAAAGACTGACGAGAACAACAAGAAGAAGAACACTGACGAGAAGAAGAAGAAGAAGACTGACAACTTGCAGGAAATCTTTGAGTTCTTTACCAGCATATCAGCTGCATATGGCCAATATCGATCCACATTCTCACTCTCTCTCTCTCTCTCTGTCTCTCTCTATCTCTCTCTGTCTGTCTCTCTCTCTCTCTCTCTCTCTCTCTCTCTCTCTCTCTCTCTCTCTCTCTCTCTCTCTCTCTCTCTCTCTCTCTGCACTTGAAAGGCACACACACACACACACGACACTAAGCCTTTGCACACACACTAAGACTGAGGCCTGCCACGTGACAAGCCTTTGCACACACACTCAGTCGGAGGTCGTGTTCTTCCGAGGCCTGCCATGTGGAAGCTTAGGCTTCGCCTGTTCGTCTTCGCGGGGCACCTTCCTCTTCCTCCCAACCCTGCTAACCCACATGTTGTCGTGTTAGGCTTCCGCATTGTTGGCTGGGAAGTCGGGGGAATTCTCTGGTGACCCAGCTGCCTCCGCAGTTCGCTTCCAACGCTTGTACACGGTTGTCGGTGCATTCTTCTCCATCTCCATGTCGCTAGTCTCTATCATTTCCTGCTGCTGCTCCCTCCCACTCTCCTCCGGGTCCTCTTCTTGCTGTTCCACGTCCTCCCCGTCACCCTCGTTCATCTCCTCCTTTCGCTGGTCCATGCCATCATCTTCTTCCTTCTCTTGCGTGTCCATGTTTTCTTCTTGCTGCGCTGGCTGGCCAATCTCCTGTTCCGCCTCCTCCTCTCCCTGACCCAACGCGTCCTCTTCGTCCTCTTCCAGCCGGCCCTGACCACCCACTGGCTGCGATTCTCGCTCTCCAACCCTCTTCTTCATTTTCTCCAACTCCTCGTCCTCGTGTTCGAGGCATTTCGGAATCCGGCCCTTTGGGGTCTTCGTGAAGGCCAGTTCTCGCACCAGCTCCTCCTCCGTCTTGTCCTTCTCCTCCACGGGCTCATCCAAAGTAGAACCGTCGTCTGCCTCTAGCTCCGACAAAAACTCGAAGAACTGCGCCCACAAATCGATGTAACCGTTGTCCTTCACGTTTTTCCCCGACCACAAAGTTGCGTATTCCAATGAATATACACCAACTTCTCCAAGGTTGAAGGGTTCAACCTATTCCGCCGCTTCGAGTGTACCAAGTCCATCGAAGACCAATTCCGCTCCGCCGGAGTTGCAGTGCTCCACATGCACATTACTTTGATTGCAATGGACTGCAACTTCGACACATCACTACTCTGAGTTGCCCACCACTCCTACGACGAGATGAGGTGACAATCTGCGATAGCATCCTCTTCCCACATCTTCCGGTCCTTCCTCCGGGGGTTGTGGCCGGTGGGTTTCGTGTGGAACTCTCGCAGATCACTTAAAATCTTCACGTGGGCATCCGATTTCCATTGACCGCCAATTTGCCGCTGTAAATAATTCAGCGCATTCTGCACAACTGCGTTGTCCCAATCCAACAACCACTTCGACTCTCTCCGCTGCGAGTTCAAAAGAAAGGCCAAGGCGTGCACCGGTTGCCGCATCATCTTCATGGGGTCCCTCACCTTCTCGAGCACCGTGTCTCGCTGCTCCGTGGTAAGCACGAACTCCCCCAGCATCCTCCTCATGAGCTTGTCGGACTCCACAAGGTTTGACGGTGCAGTCCTATCCTTGTCCATCCTCCAAAGCAAGTTATACAACGACTCCATCACCTCCACCACCTTCTTCAACTCCGGCCACCAACTCTCCCTCCGCAACGTGAAGAACACAAGATCTCCTTGGGACTGCAGTTTGGTCGTCGACCACCGCATCACCTTCCATCTCCCGACCATGCTCCCTTCGACCATCTGCTTCAATACCGCCCTCCGGTCGTACAACCGCTCCATCATCATATACACTGACCCAAAACGGACCTCCGTCGGCCGCGTCAGCAACAATGAGTCATCCAACGACATCGTTAGATTGTGCATGCAATGGTGATTTCATATGAACTTCACAATGGTGTGGCTCCCCTTGACCGTGCCCTTTATCCAATTCAACTTGCTGATGTCTCGGACCAGCAAGGAGCAGCAGTGCGCAGCGCACGGAACCCAAGGTATCCGTGAAACCCTCCAAGTCTGTGCGCCGCTCCAAAATTTGCGCGGCCTTCTTGTTGACCTCCGCATTGTCTGTGCAAATTGCGTTGATGCGTTGCATCTCGATCTCCCTCATAATATTTTTCCAAAGTCTGGCCAGCGCTGGCCCGGTCTTCTTTTTTCTGTCCATCGACATCGTTGCCACAAGGACCGCTCTCTGCTCCCCTGCCACCAAGAAGTTCATGACAGGCCTTTCCCTCCGATCTGTCGACCCGTTCGTGATGAAAGTGCACCCCGTGACATCCCAACATGCGGTCAGAGGCTGCATTTGCTTTTGAATGCGCAGAAAGATGAAGTCGAGCATCACCGTCCGGATGTGCTTTGCTGAAGGCAATTTCACCTTCGGTCGTGCGGTGGCTACCTCCAAGTACACCTCGTGGAGTTTCAAAGTAGTGTCGAAGTTTAGGAAATTGAATGCAATTCCCGCCCGGAACATTGCCTCCGCCCATGCAATGTCCAATTTCTGTTAGGCTGCGTTGTCCACCCATCTCATGATGGTCGTTTGCTGCACAACAGTCGTTCTTGTAGTCGAATCACACTCTTTTTGGACCGCCTCCCCCGATGCACTTTCCTTTCCCCGCTCCACTACGTCCTCGACCGGCTCCCTCCCTGCGGGAACCGACGGTTGTGGCTACTCGTAAGCACGACGAACTACCGCGTCACCATCACCAACTTTTGCTTGCCCCCCCTCCAAGATGTTGTGCAGATGCCGGTAATTCTGCAGCGAGTAGCGAGTTTTTTTGTCTGACGGCAACAGCTTCACCCCTTTGGCCACCAGTGTATGCAACATCTCCCCCGTCCGAAAAGGGCACGCCTTGAGCAACTTCATGAAATGCTCGACTGCTCGTGTGAGTGTGCCCCTCCAGATGGTCGAGCATAGCTGACACTTAAGCCAATACTCTCCCCGGCCCTTCGGCACAGCATCCTGTCCTTGTTCGACGTGCTTCCATACCTCCTTCTCGCCCTGCAGCTTCTTTTGCCTCGCTTCATCCTGCGGGACGAACAGGGGTCGCTGACCAATGTGGGTTCTTTACAAGTCACCCCCGACGAAGGTGTGATCGAGCTGATGATATTCTTCTTGCTTCCCTCTCCCCTTTCCAACTGCCTCCGACTTCCTTCTCCACCAATCGCATCCTTTCCCACCAGCCATGGCGCTCCAACAAATTCCTACCTGCACCTGCAATTCTCGCCCGACACCTCCAATTACGAGAAGAAGAAGAAGAAGAAGAAGAAGAAGAAGAAGAGGAAGAAGAAGGAGGAGGAGGAAGAAGGAGGAAGAAGAAGAAGGAGGAAGAAGAAGGAAGAAGAAGGAGGAAGGAGGAAGGAGAAGAAAAAAGAAGGATGAAGGAGGAGGAGGAAGAAGGGATGTATGGCGCGATGGGCTGGAGGGATGGATGGCGAGATGTGATGGAAGAAGGAGGAAGAAGGAGGAGGAAGGGATGGATGGATGGCGAGATGAGATGGAGGGATGGATGGCGAGATGTGATGGAAGAAGGAGGAAGAAGGAGGAAAAAGGGATGGATGGCGGAATGGGATGGTGGGATAGATGGCGAGATGGGATGGTGGGATCGATGGCGAGATGGGATGGTGAGATGAATGGCGAGATGGGATGGTGGAATGGATGGCGAGATGGGATGATGGGATGGATGGCGAGATGGGATGGTGGGATGGATGGCAAGATGGGATGGTGGGATGGATGACGAGATGAGATGTTGGGATGGATGGCGAGATGGGACGATGGGATGGATGGCAAGATGTGACGGAAGAACGAGGAGGAAGAAGGAGGAGGAAGATGGTGGGGGCGAAAAAGAAGGAGGAGGAAGATGGGGGGGGGGGAAGAAGAAGGAGGAGGAAGAAGGAGGAAGAAGGAGGAGGAGGAAGAAGGAGGAAGAAGAAGAAGGAAGAAGGAGGAAGAAGGAGGGAGGAGGACGAAGAAGGAGGAAGGAGGAGGAAGAAGAAGGACGAAGGAGGAAGAGGAAGAAGGGTCGGATGGCAAAATGAGATGGTGGGATGGGTGGCGAGATGGGATGGTGGGATGAATGGCAAGATGGGATGGTGGGATGGATGGTGAGATCGGATGGTGGGATGGATGACGAGATGCGATGGAAGAGAAAGGAGGAAGAAGGAGGAGGAAGAAGAAGGAGGAAGAAGGAGAAACAAGAAGGAGAAAGAAGGAGAAAGGAGGAGGAGGAAGAAGGGATGGATGGTGAGATGGGATGGATAGATGGCAAAATGTGATGGAAGAAGGAAGAACAAGGAGGTAGTAGAAGGAGGAGGAAGGAGGAGGATGATGAAGGAGGAATGAAAAGAAGGAAGAAGACGAATGAAGAAGAAGAAGGAGGAAGGAGGAGGAAGAAGGAGGAAGAAGGAGGGCGAAGATTGATTGACGAATGAAGAGGGGAAGGAGAAAAGACTGATTGATTGACGAATG